AGCATGTTCTCAATGATCGTTGTGTTGCTTCATCATAGCTATAATAAACAAGAGTGGTCTTCAATAGAGTGGGAAATGGGCTCTCCATGCTGTCCCGGGCCCTTTTGATGGACTGTTGGTTACCTTAAAAGCCGAATCCACCCATCAGTCCTGGTCAGACCTCGGGATCTCTCAATTGTTCGGGTGAAACCTTTGCCCTGTCTCTATGCTTCCCTTGCACTCATAGAAACTCACACGCATCTCCATCCGTCCTTCCTTACTAATAGTTCTTTTGTGCACGAGAGCGTGTTAAGAGGCCCGTTATAGGGCCATGTTGCCATGGAAATGTGGCAGGTTGACCTTTGACATGGTTTTTAGTGTTTTCAGGCAATGAATGGAAGTGCAAGGAGGGCGCGCAGGTCACAATAGACGCCCGATGAGAGCGGCAGAGCCCTGTCAAAGCCACTTAACTTCACCCGGTCCAAAAGACTCAGGGATACTTCAGCCTTCAGCCATTGCCCTAGAGCTGATACATACTTCAGATACGCCTGTGGTGGATGCTGACCTCAAGCCAAGCACTAGCAGTCTATACTTGTAATTTGACTAGCGTTGGCGCTCTGCGTGGATTTTATTCATTCATGCATGAAAGGACAGGAAGGAAATGGTAAAAAATGAGGTGCTCATTATTATGAGTGTGTGATTGACAAAAAACTATATCTCAATATTTTATTGATAACGATAATTAGGCTATTTTGCCGATTTGTGCTGGTATCTTGGACTTGAAGTTTTTGATATATTTGAAGGTTTTGATATTTAATGCAGCTCAGAGGCGACATGAATGCATTTAACCTGCAGTTACAAATTTAAACATAAAACGTTGAATATCGATATTTGAAATGATTTTAAAAATCAAAAGATGCTTTAAAAATGTAATTAAAGCCACCAGTAGGTTGCAGCGAGTCACTGTTAATGAGTGAGTCATTGAGATTCAACTGATTCATTCAAACGGCTGGTTCATTCAGGAACGAAGCATTTGACTCAGTGAGCGAGTCATTGAATCATTCATTCAACCGATTCGTTCACAAAGTTGATTCATTCAGGAACGAAGCATTTGACTCAATGAGCGAGTCATTGAATCAGTCATTCAACCGATTCGTGCAAAAAGTTGATTCATTCAGTAACGAAACACGCAGAGATGCGCAAAACAGTGCTGTGGCTTGTTTCGAACTATTTACATGGGCGAAATGGAGCAAAAACAGACAATTTTGTGTCTAAGAAGTAAGTCACTTAATATTAACTTGTTGTTTATTGAACTGTTGTATTAAATCCATATCACATTTGTAATCGCGCTGATATTTGGAGACAAAACGTCACTCTTGGTGTGATATCAACTATATTAAATTATGTGCATATAAAAGACATACAGGAGCATTTTTGCCCCTTATCTTCAATTCTGGGAACTTTATAAATGCAGTTTAATAGACTTAATCATTCAGTGAAAATGCTCACACGCACTACTATACACTATGTGTGCGTTCTCTGGGTGTGTTTTTGTAAAGTGAGGGATCTACTCGTTAATGTCAGATCGCACATCGTTAAAACAACAATAACGATATCACCCCTAGTGCTCATGTGATGCTGCGTGAATATTTATGTCCCTCATTCCTGTCATGTCTCCACAAGTGGCAAAATGGTAAATTAGACTAAGTGCACATTCAATTAGATATTTAACTTAGAAACAGATGATTGCTATATTCATATAGTGATATAGTTTGGTGTTTGGCACACAGTATAGACTGTTTCTCAACCTGTTGCCTACATAGATTTGAGTTTTGTTGTTTCCCAAAGTTGTACAACAAAAGTTGGGAAGTTTGCAACTAATATAAAAGAGATGTGTCTTAATGATTATGTATAATCTGAAGCAATGTGTAATATTAAAAATAATAATGACTTTCATATTAAAGTTTGAAGTTCGTATTTTCCATTTTAATATCTCTGGATTCTGAAATTTTAATAATCAAAAATGGTGGTAATCAAATTAATGCATAAAACTTTAAAATATAATCAACTGAAATTGAACAAAAGTGCTGTATAATTTTAAATATGGACATTTTTTTATATTCCTTTCATACGATTTAAATAAACTGTATTAATATATTATTGTTATTATTATTACTTTGAGAGGTACATTCTACAGTACAATAGTAATATTTGTTACAATATCTTTAATTTAATCGAAAGTTTTATATTTGACGGCTTGAGTTTCTGAGTGTATCTGACAATAGTTTTATGAAATGAAATGGTAAAATTCGGGTGAAGTGACTCTCAGAATAGCTCTGGAGATGAAGTGTGTGTGTGACACGCAGAACATGTAGACTTCAGATATCAGTAGCAGTCTTCTTTAATATTCAGACACTAGTCCATATTAGCACTGGGTGTTGACACAAACTTCACGATTCGATTTCAATTCGATTCTATTTGATATTGAATTGATTATTTTGGATATATATCAGGTCCAGTACATGGCAAATTTTCTCAAGGGAAAAACAAATCTCTCCACTAATGCTGTAAACTATACGTTGGGAGTCAGTTGGTGCTACATTACGATTATATTGAAGGTTAAAATTAACTTATTTGTATATAAATGTCCCTAATTTTGATTTATTCATCTATTTAGCCAAATTCTGTGATATACAGTAAATTAAATGTTTCTTCTTCATCCATGTTTTCTGCATCGTGGAAATCATAGTGCCCTACATCTCCAGAAAGTGCAATATCATGAAAACAGGCCTGCAAAGTTTGGGTTCTGACAATCAGTCGGACCGAGTAGAAAAATGTCCTTAGACAATGTTATGGTGTGGAAAGTGCAAATAAAAGCCTCATTGAAATGTTTCGTCTAGCCACGCTGGTAAACGACTCCAACGGCCAAAACAAACACAACCTGTATCTGAGCGGACTCACTAATGTGGCCGAGTTTACCTGCGGGGTCGAGGGAACGCGCTCTGGGATGCGGATCTATCGGTGGTTTTATTAGTAACCCTATACCTGACGTGCCAGCAAGTGCTTGTTTAACACTCGTCTTTGAATGTTTCCCCAAATCGCTGACATTGCTCAAGTTTAATCTCTGAAGTTTGGTTGCATTCCTCAAAATCTGACAAAGCATTGTGTGCTGCTTCAGTGCCGCCTAGTTTCACTGATAGTTAATCTCTCCATTCCAATTAGCATGATTGTATCTTGTTTGCTTAAGAATGATTATATAATCGTTTAATTACCCACAACACACTTAAACAAAGGAGCCCGGTTTGAAACAGGCACCGATTGTGTGGTCAGGTTGGACTAACAGAAGGTGTAAATGACTAGGATTAAGCTGATGGCATGTCCTGACAATAGGTCTTCGTGTGGGGCAGGAGTGTGTGTGTGTGTGGGTGTGTTATCAGTGCTGCTCAGATTGAGAGATGTGATTAACACCGGCCACAGGGAGGCCCATTTGGGTTCATCAGGGGTCCTGAATAAGTACGGGCCACACGCTGGGTCCAACTGTGCTTATGAGTAGGATCACTTTCTGTGCAGAATACAATTATGCTTATTTTTGAGTTCTAATAATAGAATTATATCATTAAACTGTGGTTACTTGGCATTATTATTTGGTTCTCTAGAATATTTGACATCTATTTCCACTACTGTTCAAAGGTTTGGGGTCTCTACTGCTCACTTATTTAATCAAAAATACAGTAAAAATTGTGAAATATTATTTTAATCTAAAGTAACAGTTTGCTATGTGAATATATAGTAAAGTGTAATTTATTCCTGTGATCAAATGGGAGATCATTACTCTAATCTTCAGTGTCACATGATCCTTCAGAAATCATTCTGATTTGATGCTCAAGAAACATTTCTGATTATTATCAATGTTGAAAATAGTTTTCTGTGGAAACTGATATACAGTTTTTGATAAATTATAAAGTCTTAAAGAACAGCTTATTTGAAATAGAAACCTTTTGTAACATTATAAAAGTCTTAACTGCCACTTTAGATCAATTTAATGAATCCTTGACGAATGAAAAAGTATTAATTCCTTTGAAAATATAAATCCTACTGACTACCTGCCGAACTTTTGAATGATAGTGTATCTTTATGGTTTGACATCACTAAAAAAGGTACATAAGAGAAAAATAATTATTTCAAATATGAGAAAAAAACATTTAGCTGGTTTTACAGTGTTTTGTAAACAGCATTTGCATACAATTTTAAAGTCATTTTTGCCATTGTGTATGAAATTATGCTATTTAAATAAACTTACTAGCCACTATTGCCATATATTATAAAAATAAAAAATGTGTGCATTAAGAAGCTACAATTATTGGTAACACTTTACATTATGGTTCAACTAAGAATGAACAATACTTCTACAGCATTTATTAATCTTAGTTAATATTAATTTCAACATTTACTAATACATTATTAAAATCAAAGGTTGTATTTGTTAACATTAGTTAATGCACTGTGAACTAACATGAACAAACAATGAACAGCTGGACTTTTAACAAATATACTGTTACAAATGTATTTCTCATTGTTACTTAATATTAGTTAATACATTAACTAATATTAACTAATGAACAAAGTGTTACCAAATGATTAAAGGGTGATAAAACAGACTCTGCATTTAGACGTAACTTTTTTTAGCCTAAAAACTAAAAACTGGTGACCGTGATAATAATAATAATGGTAGTAAATACTTTTATACAGATTGTCAAAATATAATATAATGTAATATAAAAATGAATAATAATATTCACTACAAACAATTCTTCCACCTCGTAATATAGTTTGTTTAGCACAGATATATTCAGTAAATAAATTATTAATAACTATAGTAAATATGTTTGATTTTATATTGTAGATTTTAAACTCACGTTTGCTTTACAGAGCCAAAAGATATAATATAATATACGGTGTAATATAATATAAAGAATTATAACTAATGAACCTGATTGTAAAGTGTTACCAAATGATAGACTTGTAGTCAAGACCGCCTAAACCGAGACCAAGACACTACCAAGACCAGAGGGTATCGAGACCAAGACAGACCAAGTCGAGACCGAGACCGAGACCAAGTCGAGACCGAGACCGAGACCAAGTCGAGACCGAGACCAAGTCGAGACCAAGACCGAGACCAAGACGAGACCAAGACCGAGACCAAGACGAGACCAAGACCGAGACCAAGTCGAGACCGAGACCGAGACCAAGTCGAGACCAAGACCGAGACCAAGTCGAGACCAAGACCGAGACCAAGTCGAGACCAAGACCGAGACCAAGACCGAGACCAAGACCGAGACCAAGACCGAGACCAAGACCGAGACCAAGACCGAGACCAAGACCGAGACCAAGACCGAGACCAAGACCGAGACCAAGACCGAGACCAAGACCGAGACCAGACCGAGACCAAGTCGAGACCAAGACCGAGACCAAGTCGAGACCAAGACCGAGACCAAGTCGAGACCAAGACCAAAACCGAGACCAAGACCGAGACCGAGACCAAGACCGAGACCAAGACCGAGACCAAGACCAAGACCGAGACCGAGACCAAGACCGGGACCGAGACCAAGTCGAGACCGAGACCAAGTCGAAACCGAGACCAAGACCGAGACCAAGACCGAGACCAAGACCAAGACCAAGACCGAGACCAAGACCGAGACCGAGACCGAGACCAAGACCGAGACCAAGACCGAGACCAAGACCGAGACCAAGACCGAGACCAAGACCGAGACCAAGACCGAGACCAAGACCGGGACCGAGACCAAGACCGAGACCAAGTCGAGACCGAGACCAAGTCGAAACCGAGACCAAGACCGAGACCAAGACCGAGACCAAGACCGAGACCAAGACCAAGACCAAGACCGAGACCAAGACCAAGACCGAGACCAAGACCGAGACCAAGACCGAGACCAAGACCGAGACCAAGACCGAGACCAAGACCGAGACCAAGACCGGGACCGAGACCAAGACCAAGTCAAGACCGAGACCAAGACCGAGACCGGAGGGGGGAAAAAAAACAGACTAGTGTTGTTGAAGCTAAGCAATAACTTGTAAGATTTTGTTTTGCATTGCCTGCCTATCTCTGCCGATTTCGAAGTCTCCAAATGAATCCATTCTGCAACTTTTAAATACATAATTATATTTTTAAAAACGAAATTATAAGCTAAAGTCCAGGATCCGAAAGTTGGTTGTTTTGTCGCTATGGTTACACACACACACACCGTTGGCGGTGCGCTCAAAGTCATCTCTCAGCTGTGCAGTTACCCAAAATCTCCTGAATGAAGTTAAAACCCATCATGTCACTGATATGTGTTTTACTAAATATTAATACATCAAAAACTGTACATGATATGTGTTTTTTAAATCAAGTGATCAAAGTGCTCGTTGCCGCTGCGATCAGTGGCGCGGATACGGCTCGCGCACCGCACTGTCTTCACTCGGACGCGCGCTTCAATCCGTTGCGGATATCATCGTGGATATCGATATTGCTAAATCCCCCGACCACTATGTCGGTCTGAGACAACGAGACCTAGACAAGACCGCGAGGTCCAAGACCAAAGACCGTCAAGGCCGTGACAAGACCGAGACCACGTAAAAGTGACATACATCACTACCAAATGACGTAACTTTTTTTTTAGCCTAAAAAGTTTCCGAAGCGATCGGCACGGAGCGAGTCTCTGGAGCGACTGAAAGCGTGTCATCGCCTCATTACCTCGACAGCGGCGCTGTAAGTTTGTCAGGCCGCTTCTATTTGGGTGCCGTTGGCAGACGAGCCGCTTTCCCTGAGTAACAAACGTCCCTCGCATCTGCCTCCCAGCATCCCTGGCAGCGCTGCCTCGTCTCCTGCGCTGACAAAGAGAGTCCGCGAGAGAGACACACAATTGGACCCTGGCGCTGGCTCCTCGCGGGCCCTGGAGCATATGCCGTATTCTCTCTGTTCCCCAAACCAAAGGGCTTTTCTCTGGGACGTTCTCCACCACCTTTTGTGGCATCTGTGTTCTCCCTCTCATTAGGAGAGCGCTCGACTGATGTTGGACTGAGCGCGGGAGGCCGAGAGCTTAGAGAGGAGAGAGAAATGGATCAGATGGTTTGTGATGAGAGGCCTAGTTTTGAAGTTGAGAGACTCGATGTAGGACAAGGAAACGGGGAGCCGCTACATCGGCGAGAACGGTTCAGGCACAACGTAGAGTCTCTTTAATGCGATGGGGGGAAAGTGTTCCAATGTCATGGAAACCGTATGCAATGTCAGCGAAAGTTTCTTACATTTGTAGTTATGATGATGATAAATAATAACAGTTGTACATACATTTGATTTTATATAGTAGATTTTAAAACACAGGCTTCCATAATCATCACAATTATAACAAATAAAGGCTTGAAATATCTCACTTTGCATGTAATGAGTCTATATAATATATAAGTTTCACCTTTTAAGTTGAATTACTGAAATAAATTAACTTTTGCACGATATTCTAATTTTTCGAGTTTCACCTGTATAATATAAAAAAGTATTATCACTATAAATTTTTTTCACCTTGTGAGTTTATGTAACATATATTCAGTAAATAATTACATTTGTGATGATAATAACAGTAGTAAATACATTTGTTTTTAATTTAGACAAGCTTGCTTTACAGACCCATTATATAATATAATATAAATACAACATAATATATCATAATATAGTTATAATTAAGATCACTATAAAAACTACAAAGTTTATGTAACATATATTCATTAAATCATTACATTTGTAATGATGATGATGATGGTGACAGTGAAAATAATAATAATGGTTGTAAATACTTTGGATTTTATATACAGATTGTACAATTTTCAGAGCCAAAATATAATATAATAATATTCACTACAAACAATTCGTCCACCTTGTAATATAGTGTGTTTAGCACAGATATTCAGTAAATAAATAATTAATAACTACTATAGTAAATATATTTGATTTTATATTGTAGATTTTAGAGCCAAAAAATATAATATACTCTACGGTGTAATATAATATAAAGAATTATAATCACTATAAACAATTCCTAGACCTTGTAATATAGTTTGTTTAACAGATATTTTGTAAATTACATTTGTGATGATGATAATAATTACAGTAGTAAATACATTTGATTGTATGTACTATATTGTAAAATTCAAGCTTGCATTACAGAGCCAAAATATAATGTAATGTATAAAAAAAAAGATAAATATAATCATAATTAACCGTTTTTCTACCGTGTAATATAGTTTGTGTAACCGATTTTAAAGCCAGAACTGTCTGTTTTATAATGTTTTAGTTGTGTAATATGTGTATGTGGCTATTGTATATTGCAGGATTTTCCCTCAAGGTATTTGATAAAGTGTTAAGATCATGTTTAAGTTGTCTCGACGCTGTTGTTGACACATGTTTGCGATGCTCTGGATTTCATGCCCAGTCTGTCTTGTTTTAAGCGCAACACCTGCAACACATTAGCACAGCGCCTGAAGTGGACTGTAAAAGGTAATTGGCAAATTGAGTTTATGTGTGTGTTTCCAGTCCCATGTCATTGTAAACACTTACTAGAGGATTGCAGCGCAGAAACGCTCCACTTTCTCATTCCGCCCAAAGCACTTTTCCGACGGTAAGCAGCCTCGTCTCTAGGAGCCGATTCTGCTGACCAGCACGAGAGGTTTCTCTTTCTCTCTCTCGCTCTGAGCCAACTCGAGGACAGTTTTAGTGGGCCAGGGTCTGACCACAGCGGCACCAGTGTTTATATAGAGCTGAAGTGCTAAATGTACAGGATGCCAGCGTGCAACAGAGACAGGAATTGTGTTTTCGGGGCTGAGCTGTTGAAAAATGTCTGAAAAGCCCCCCCAAAAAAGGGAGAAAATAAATCATTTTAGTTGAAGATGGGAGTGAACTTGTGATGTTGTTTTCCTCATCTTGTCTGGACACATTCCTAGTAGGGCTGTCACTTTACGTTCGAAAATCCATTGCACAATTGATCGGACCAACCAACACAAGTTTCGAAAGTTTTCCTTTTTTTTATTTTTAACCAAACATGTGTTTTAGGTGGACAGATCAATACAGTATCAGAACATGTAGGATGCTGGAAAATAACAATGTCTTTTCTGTTCACCAAATGCTTTTTAATATTCGCTATTATTTCAATGCAAGTGAACAAGCGCGCCGTTATTTGTTGCGTAGTGACGTGTGTGTGTGTGTGTGTTCAAGTAAGCCAGAAATGTGCAGATTCTGTGCAATACGCTGTATTTAATATATCATGAGGATCACGAGTTGCGTATTTGCGCTAAATCCACGCAGATTTGTCTCACACGAACTTCCCCAGCAAAGTGAGTAAACACAGAAACACGCCAGATTGGCTCGTGATTTGACAGCGTTTCCCGCCAAAGTTCATTTTTAGCCGCGTTTGGCGGGTCGAGGGTGTTAATCTCAATCCCTGAATGTTGCGCTCCTGTTTGTCATTGTGCTGAAACTTCACGCCAATAAATCATCAGAAATATTGCTGACTTGTGCGTCTCAAGCGCCCTCTTTACGCTCGTCCTAATGCCTGTTAGGTGTCCGTGGATTTGCCTGTATTTGGTGTTGAAAATGGAAACGTCTTTAGACATGGAAAATGGATTTTACAATCGATTCAATGAACACTTGTGTCTCAGAAATCGAACAGGATTTTTTCACAAAAGTGACAGCCCTATTTCCTAGTGCTCTCAAAATCACCAAAGTCAACGGCAACCATCCCACTCTCAGAAGAAAAGGTTCTATATGGAACCTTCAAAAGTTCCGTCAGGCGCTTCATATATAGAACCTTCCGGGAGTTCCAACATGGAATCATTTTATGTATTTTTTTATTTTTCCATTTTAATTCAATTGGATGAATAAAGCAGCTTGTAAATGTCCATTATCACTAGAATGAATGGAAATAATCCGTTTAACATGAAAGTATTATGCAATCATTTAAGACATTTCTCCTTATATAGAAGCTTTTTGGCATAAAGCGTTCTTTAAAATCAGTCAAGAACCCTAGAGTTCTATATTGAACACCACTGAACCTTTCTAGTAGTTCAGAAATACTGAATCTTTCAATTCAGTTCAGTTTACATTTATTTGTATAGCGCTTTTCACAATGCGTATATAGTTTCAATTTAGCGTGATCTGTTATCAGAGGTGTTAAAGTAATGTCCATATGTCCGAAGTGTACAGTTCTATAATACAGATCATGCAGTTAGCTAACATCATGTGTTCATTTAAGCCGAAACAATGAACTAATTTAAGCAATTATTACAAGTTGTGAACATAATGATTTCAAATTTGATTCACATGATTACACACATGGCCTTCTATTACCAAAATCCAATAGAAAATGACCATAACATCATTAATACAGTTAATGTCCCTGTTCTATTGTGTGTGATTCGCGCCTGTTAAAATAAAGTAGTTGTTGAGAATTTTCTCTTTTTCTTTTTACTGTTGTAATCTTTAATCCAAATATATATTGTTCTCCATCTCTGAAACGTTGTTTTTTTTTTCTTTTTAATAACCAATAATATCACAGCCTTCTCTGTTTCACAATTTAATCAAATTCCATTGGACTATTAGGGAAATATTACATTTTAAAAATGACCGGATGTTAAAAATGTTTATTTATTAATTCGTTTGTAAAACATATTTGAAAAATATCATGTACCATGTAAATATTACGTTTTAAAAACGACTAAATTTTACGTGTTAAATATTGATTGATTGGTCAATTGACTGAAAATGTCAATATGGAAATCTCAAAAAAAAAAAAAAAAAATTCACTAAACATATGTTTTTAGTTTTAAGAATGTAGCATTGTATGTTGAATCAATGTAAAATCTTGTTTAAAGCACTGGTAATGATTGGAGACAGATCTAGGGAGCTTTACTGGAACGAGGCATCTTTACTGGAAGCCGCTGTAATGTTAACAATACTTTTTATGACTTAATATGTATATCTGTTTGTGTTTATATCTTGGCCTGGACTCCTGTAGTGGGATAATACATGACCAAACCAACTAAAGAGAGTAATAATGGTGGCCTTCTGTTTCTCTTTAGCCCAGTATTCAGTTCAGGGATGTGTGTGTGTGTGTGTGTGTGTGGTAGGGGAGATGACTGATGTCGACCCCAAGAGTTTCCTCTGTTGTGGATGGGAGCGAGGGGCCCGATCGGCCCCCCCGAGTCACCCAGCTGTCAGGAAACAATACCCTTGGCCTGCTCAGACAAAACCCATTCCTGAAAATGTTTTTTTTTTCCCTTTTCTCTGTCGCTCCCGCTCCCCCTCTCTTCCTTTTGTGTGTATAATGTCTTTTCCATTTTTAACCATAGCCGTGTAAACTTCCTTCCTATGATCGCTCCGTTTGAAAGCAAGGTCGAAGATGTAAAAGTGGACCGGACCCCACATTAATTCATTAGCGGCATGGATGAGGATTCGTATTTTCCGGCTGGATTTGAGCGATATCCAAGACCAGGACCAGTTTATTGAATCCAATGATCATATTTACATCATATTAACGTGTGTTTATCAGAGCAGGACGAGAGAGTTTGTCTTGACCAAGTCAGATGCTGATTGTGGATAACAAACTATGTGGATAATTAGCCAATAAGCATTAAGAAGAAACACAATTGGTTTGATTTTTTTTTTGAGAGGCCATCATAGGGCTGGACGAGATGGCCAAGATTTATATCACGATATATTTCTTAATTTCGGTCGATACGATATAATTCCGATATCGATATGAACAGTATAAAAGCCTCAGGAAAAACTGCCAAGAACGCCCATAAACCTCCTCCTATAAAACTATATAATATTTTAGAAATAAAAATGGTACAAATAAATAATTGTTAATATTGCATTTGTATTTAGCCTTCATACAAACAAGAAATGTGAAATCACCGTCAAATAAACATAAGACTCAACATATTAATATCTTTAACTTTAAACTATAGGCTAACATAGGTTGATTATAATATTCTTATAGATTGAAAAAAGTGCTTCAGCCAGAATAAAGAATAAGAAAAGTGCTCAGAGTTGCTGCAGATTTTTTTTTTTTTTTTTATTGCACACATAATTCAATAAATGTACCTTTTTTTTTAGCAGCTGACTGCAATAGGACAGTTTGTCATGAAATTGTGCATAAAATCGTCATAAAATCGTTATTTTTTTATTAGGGTTGAATGATATATCACACCATTTTGGATATTTACCAAATATAAATATGCATATTTATAAAGTGAATCCTAAATAAAGTTGTAGCATTTAAAACTATATATTTTTTAAATGCAGCATTTATTTATTTATTTATTAATAGACAAAATGGTTTAGAATTTAATATGAGCCATTTATCAGTTATGATATTTATCAGAAAATGATTTTCACCTTATTGTTAGCATTGCTCTTCTGGCTCTATTAATTTCTAAAGTAAAAAAAAAAAAAAAAATTCTATAGTGTACACTGTAAAAAAAAAAATGTTTCAAAGACTATTTTAGTTTTACACGAGAATGCTATTTTAGTCTTTCTAATTCAAAGTTGTGTTACATGCCATTTCCCTGTGATTATTTGCCAATTTCTCAGTGAACGTTGTTTCAAAGTAAATCCTGCTCATTTGTCTCCCAGTTTTCCCTTTAGAAGCAGGAACACGTGTTAAGAAAGTTTTTATTTCCTGCTGACTTTAACGCGCTCTGCTCAAACACTAGTATGAGAATATTAGCTCCAAGTAAATGTGTTTTAATAAATGATAAATTCTTGAGCAGCCTAAAGAAATGTGTGCACATGAAAATCTGCTGTATCCGGCAGTTAAAAACTGATATATGAACCAGATGTCTGAACTGAACTCCACTGAGACTGGAGATATGACCATAAGACCAAATGGAGCAAAACAAGAAGATCTGAACACAACCTCTGCATTCATTACAAACCGCATTGTGCATTAGTGATTATCAGCGCACCTGTTTGGCCCACGGTGGGACACACACACACACACACACACACACACGAAGAAATGGGGATGGTGTTTGCTCTCGTCCTGATAGTTGAAGTGATACAGGGAGAGGTCAAAGGTGCAGGGATATTCACTTGAGCATTATATATGTGGCTGTGTTTTTACCACAGTCCAGTTTTCCCACCTCTCTCCATGGGATTTCCTCTCAGCTGTCCCCTACACACACACACACACACACACACACACACACATATATACTGTACACACACACACACACTCCCTCGATAGACGCCCACAGCTGGGCTCTGGGAGGAACACATTCTCCGACAAACACAGATTTCACACTCTCACTGTCTCTCCGTTTTACACACACACACACACACACACACACACACACACACACACACACACACACACACGTAAAAGATACAGACACAGGTGTCTGCCAGAAGAATTGCTCTCCGCTGACCGTTCTACTTATTTATGACCCTCTGAGAGGCAGATCTCATGCTGGAAGATTCTGTAAAGTCTCTTTTCAATTTGACATTTGTTTCACTCATTCAATCACAGTTAGTCATCAGAAAAAAAACCTGTCTAGACACACACACACAGACTGCTCTGTTTTAAAAGGTGCTTTTGTCAACAGGTCTGACCAAACGTGTTGGTTAACTTTGCCACCCACTGAGGTGAAGTTTCTGCACCCGTTTTGTGCCAGAACTTTTCCATTGAACTTTAAAGTCGGGAAGTCAAAATGGACAATTCTTTTCTGGAATATTGCAGGATTTATTATTGCACAATAATATTGTTTTAAATTCATGTTTCTGGTAATCTTGAATCAGAATAACTCCCTCTTGCAGCATATCTTCTCTTCTCTGATGACGAGGGCGGGGCTATAACCTGTCAATCACATGAGATCAGCCAATAGCAAACCACAACCATCCAATCAATACTGACAAAATCAAGCCCCGCCCACATTTCAAGTCTAGAGCAACTTTCGTTTCATTCCGACTTTAAAAGGAAGATGTGAATTAAAACACAGTATTGCTGTCTAATCTGCCTTTTTGTTTTTGTTTTTCACAGTTTTTGCATATGAAATGGCCTCTTCTGGATGTTCCAGGCACAGCAGCACTCAAAGACTCACGATCACCTACTCCAGGACACTTAGTGAGTCTCTCTAACACACACACACACACTGTTACAACAACGGGCTTTGAGTGAGTCATTTGTTCATTCAACGAACACCTTCAAAAAAGCTGATTCATTAAAAGAGATGTAATGAAACAAGGTGTTAATTATTTTTAACTTTGAGTTCCACTTTTCAAGGCTCAGCTGAGCAGCAATGCGTCGCATGGGTAACGCTGAAGCTGATGCTTCACTCATTAGAGACCAATATGGCATTGATTCAATGCGTGACTCGCTGATTTTATTTCCCCGCGGCTTCCTCGAGCTGTGGAATGCTGACCAGCGCTGCTGCTGACGCGCATTTATAGTAAATACCCGTGACGTGAACGTTAAAAGGATGATACGACAAATATTTCGCTTTCCTTTGACACGGCAACCTTTTTCACGAATACATATGACTTCAAAGACAGACGCAGGTAATCGCACACGCTCTGCCGATCTCTCTCATTCACTGTCTGTGCGAAGCCTCTGTAGGCTACACATCACCACGATAAACAGTCTTGTTTGTTATCATAATGAACTTGTTTAACATTCAATACACATGCATGAAGTTCAAAACAAGCAGTTAAATGTCTATAATAGCCTAATAGTATCAATATGTTGCATAACTACAGTCCTGTAATTCAGGTAACAGCTGGAAAAAACAAAAACACTTATCTAAATCTCGAAAATCGGATCAGATCGGATCGGATCGGATCGAATCGAATAATGATAATCGATTCAAGATCTTGAGAATCGGAATCGAATCGATTCTTGAAATTTGAATCGAAACCCAGCTCTAGTTCACCCTATAATGAAAATTGTCATAATTTAATTCACCTTTATGTCGTTCCAAACCCAAGTCTTTCATTAATCTATCTTTGAAACACAAATGAAGATGTTTTTAATATTCTCTCATCATTTTGTACATATAATGAAAGTCCACACAGCCTAAATTTTAAAGCTTCAAAAAGTTCATAAAGACTGTGTGAAGTAATCCAAATGATTTGAGTGTTTTATTCTGATGAGACGCGATCACTTTATATGATGAACAGATTTAATTTACACTTTTTTCATATGTAAACAAGCATTGATTAGTGTACATGGAGTACAAGCACAAAAAATATGTACGTGCATTGATCAATGTTTATATTAATAAATTAAAGCCTAAATTAAATGGGTTGAAATAAAGATTTCAGAATTTCTTTTCAAAATAAACACTCAATACATATGGATTACTTTATGTACTTTTTGAAGCTTTAAAGTTTTGGTTGCATGGACTTTCAAAGAAGGGGCAGAAATAATTAAGGAATATAAAAACTATCTCCAATTGTTTTCTGAAGATGACTAAAAGTCTTGTTTTGTAATGACATTTAGGTGAGCAATCCCTTTAAAGTCAGCATGAAATCTAAACTGATCCTGTTGATGAGCCACATGCATGTTCTTACTGGTCTTATAGCGAATGATTCATCCGTGCAAGTTTTACATTTTGTTTTGACCCCGTAATCTTTAATCAAAATGTCTTTAATCAAATTTAGTCTTCCTGTGATGAGCCACACTTCTCTTAGTTGACGGATACCCAAGGCCGCTGCAATGAAGCCAATCGCATTCAGATGTTTTTCTGTACCGAATCTCTGAGATTGAGTTTTTAATTGGTGTTGTCAGGCGATCTTTATTGACGCGTATAAAGGCTACCTGAGCTTGTATTGATTTGTGCTGTTGATGTGGGTGGCCATGCAAGGCGATTGATAGTGCTGTTGTTTGGCATGAAGAGGACAAATTTAAAAGCTCATTGCTTCCAACCTACAATGTATTTGAAAAGAAAATTAATTCATTTTCTATATGATCACTTAAAGTCAAGTCTAAGGGCCCTTTCACACCTACCTTGTTTGGTCCGGACTTTCGGACTTTTCAGTTTGGTCCGAATCAAAATTACAGGTGTGAAACCTCCCCCGGACCACGTTTGGTCCGACGAAAAGAGGTAGTCTCGGTCCGGATCAAACTGAACAAAGGTTTGGTTCGTTTCTAGTGTGAAAGCATTTCTGTATGGTTCGGACTTTCGGACCTTTTACAGGAAGTTCCGGTGGTTCCCGCATAGCCGAAAAAACAGAAGGTGGCAGGAAAAATGAGCCGTGTAGCACATGGGGAGAGGAGGAGACGAGGTTCTCTTATGAGAGGTTCTCTCGTATTGCGTAAGTTAGCTTACGCTACGGGAAAGATTCATCTTTTCGAGATCATATTGAAGCCAAAAAAGTCAACTTGAAGTCTTCTCCTCCTTTCCTGCCGGCGACGATAAAATGTTCGCACGACGAGGACGTTAATTTGGTGAATTTGAACTAGCCTTGTGTATAGTTGGTGCTGCAGGTAATTATGCCATAAAATAACAATATAGTTGCAACGATATGCGTCTGTTCATTCATGTTGTCAAAGTTACCCGCCGAATTGACAACACGCTGACGTCAGACGCACGTCCGTTTACAAACCAATCAATGTCAAGATGCAGCCCACGTAGATAATGACGACAGGACGCAAGTACGTCATGTAAAGTTCTCTAGTACGCTCGCATAATTGCAGTGTGAAACCAAACCAAAACTTTCTGAAAGTATAAAATGTATCAAAACGTGAACTTTGGTTCGGACCTTGGTGCGGACTTTCAGGTGTGAAAACGCCCTTAAAATCAATTTTGGTTGCCTGCAGGTACAAGTAATGACTGTACGTTCACACCGCCGCCGACTTGAGCTTCCAAAGTTACCGGAAGTCATTCATTTTCAATGGAAGCTGGCTTCTCTCAGCTGCAAGGAGCTTCAAATCCATCGGCGGCGCGCTTTGGGCGTCATGAGCGACCAGAGCTTTCAATCAGAAAGTTGAAAGAAGCTCAACTTTATGGTAATGAGCTATGACGCGGTTCAGCGGCAAAACACCAGCAACCAATCAGAATACAGAGGTCCTTCACGCTGGCTGATTCTGGAGAAACATGCGATGTAAACTTTCGTTCCTACCAAAACATTAGTTCCGAGACAATGGAAGAGAAGCTAATCATCGCCGTTCCTGGGTTTCCTATCATTTATGATATGACGTTGTTTGCATATAGGGACCAGTTACAAAAGAACGAGGCATTGGAAATATTTACGAACGCTCGTTTTAAGCGGGAATGCAATTCATTTGCTCACGGTAACGCCGATTTGACAATTGCACGGTGCAAATAATAATAGCTAATTATTATTTTTTTCGACCAAATGTGACCAAAACGGTTATAAAAATGCTAATAATAATAAAAGGTTTCTAGTGTCAATGTATTGCTTATTTTTTCTGTTAACATTTCATGCTGTGACACTTCTCTTCTCCCTGCTACGTCAGAGCGGCCAAAGCGTCAACAAGCTTCCCTGTACTTTTTGACAAGCGTCCTTGACAGGGCGGCCAGAGCTTCTTTGCTGCTCAAGTCGGCGGCGGCGGTGTGAACGTACAGTAAAAGCTATATTTCCAAAATGTTTCTGGCTCAAACCAGAATGTGTGGTACATCTATGCCACTCCTTAAGCCCCGTTCACACCCCCAGCGACACGCAGCGACATGATCCCATTCAATGTGGGCGTGTCAAGCGTTCAGAAATTTCGACTTTATGCAAATGAGAAGCGAATTTCGCGAGCGACAACCAATAGGAGTGAAGACTGTCAGTGGAGCTCACACAGACAGGGATCCGGAGTGATTTGATTCACTGTTTTATATGATTTGACTGTAACTAACCACATACATGGATATTATAAAATTATGCATGGAAAACAATCTGTCGACAGTCTTAGGGCGTCACACCTGAAAGTCCGCACCAATGTCCGGACCAAAGTTCATGTTTTGATACATTTTATACATTCGGTAAGTTTTGGTTTGGTTTCACACTGCAATTATGCGAGCACACTAGAGAACTTTACATGACGTACTTGCGTCCTGTCGTCATTATCTATGTGGGCTGCATCTTGACACTGATTGGTTTGTAAACGGACGTGAGTCTGACGTCAGCGTGTTGTCAATTCGGCAGGTATCTTTGACAAGAATAAAAAAATAAAATAAAAACTTTGACAAGAATGAAGGAACAGACGCATATGGTTGCCACTATACTGTTATTATAACGGCATTAATGCCTGCAGCACCGACTATACTCGAGGATAGTTCAGATTCGCCAAATGAACGTCCTTGTTGTGCGAACATTTCACCGTCGCCGGCCGGAAAGGAGGAGGAGACCCCAAGCAATCCTGCGGGAACCACCGGAACTTCCTGTAAATGCTCTGAAAGTCCGAACCATACAGAAAATGCTTTCACACTAGAAACTGTCACTTTTGTGAAAAAATCCTGTTCGATTTCTGAGACACAAGTGTTCATTGAATCGATTGTAAAATCGATTTTCCATGTCTAAAGACGTTTCCATTTTCAACACCAAATACAGGCAAATCCACGGACACCTAACAGGCATTAGGACGAGCGTAAAGAGGGCGCTTGAGACGCACAAGTCAGCAATATTTCTGATGATTTATTGGCGTGAAGTTTCAGCACAATGACAAACAGGAGCGCAACATTCAGGGATTGAGATTAACACCCTCGACCCGCCAAACGCGGCTAAAAATTAACTTTGGCGGGAAACGCTGTCAAATCACGAGCCAATCTGGCGTGTTTCTGTGTTTACTCACTTTGCTGGGGAAGTTCGTGTGAGACAAATCTGCGCGGATTTAGCGCAAATACGCAACTCGTGATCCTCATGATATATTAAATACAGCGTATTGTGCAGAATCTGAGCATTTCTGGCTTACTTGAACACACACACACACACACACACGTCACTACGCAACAAATAACGGCGTGCTTGTTCACTTGCATTGAAGTAATAGCCAATATTAAAAAGCATTTGGTGAACAGAAAAGACATTGTTATTTTCCAGCATCCTACATGTTCTGATACTGTATTGATCTGTCCACCTAAAACACACTTAAAAAAAAAAAAAAAAAAAAGGCTATTA